AGGTGAGTCATATTAATTATATGAAAATGGGCCTTAAATTAAAAACTGCTAATTTGTACCATACATTTTATCTAAAATAACAAGTAAAATTATATCAAAAGATGCAATCCTTTTACTTTTGGAAAACTATTACCTATTACATACTAATAACTTTCACTACAAAGAGTAAATGAATAATAACATTACTCTAAATACACTATAAGTAATATGTTTTGAAAATCTTTTATAAGAAATTTCAGAAAAGTTAAGAAGAGATCTTTAAATAGATGTGATTGATGATTTTTCAGATGATGATATTGAATTCGATAAAATTAAAGTCTATTTAGAAGATGATAAAAGTAATGTGATAAATGAATGTCCACAATTGGAGAAGAAGAAATTATATCTTGGATTTAAGAACCATTAATATTAATTAGCAAAAGAGTTCATAGAATAAAATGCTGAAGGCAGAAATGTAGTTTTATTGATACATATTTACATCTTTTACAATATCTGGCTAAAATTCTTACTTTTTTTATTCTGGTTCAATAATCTATCATAGAAAGTCCATTTTTAATATAAGCAATCCGATTATCTGCAAATATAGTACTTTTGGTTTTGGCATTGCTATGAAATAAGAAATTAAAACACAATTCCTCGTAAGGTGATTATTTTATTGCAACTTACATAATTCTTTTTTTTAGAATTTTTACTCTTTAAAAGTGATGAATTATTTAAATGATTAGCCTCAGAAGAACTAGTATTGATATTTTTCTTCTGTTCTTAATCAATTGTTCAAATCAAACAAAAAGTGGCATTCTTATTATTCTTTTGCGTTGCTCACATTATAATTGTATGATTGGGCAGATTTCTCTGTTTAACAAAACAATTAATCCGAAAATTTAGTAAAATACTTATTAACTAATCATATTTTAAAACAATCTTTATCAAATCATTAAAAAGAGGCCTTAGTATTATTTGCTGTTATAGTAAGATTTACAGAATACTCTAGAAAGGTTGAACCTGAGTAGGTTGTTAACATTTTAAGAAATTTATTCATAGGATTTGATAACGAATGTTTAACTTCAAACATATACAAGCTTTGTACCATTCGGGATGCATTTGGAATAGTAGATATTATGCAAAGAAATGCTGCATAAGAGGCAAAAAATGTTTTTGAATTGGGATTTGGAATGGTTGAAATTATTAGAAATGCTAGATAGATAATTGGATTTGATGGATTAGATATGAGAAGAGGAATATATACTGTAACTAAGTAAATTAAATATTATTAGGGAAAAGTGATAGCAGGAATTCTAGAAACAAAAATAGTTAGGTATGATGTTTATAGTGCAGATGTTATGATTTCAAAAAAAATGAAATCCAATGGAGAAAAAGGGAGAGTTCAAGTCTCATAAGAAACCAAAACTAGTAGAAGTCCAATATCATCGTGCGTTTAATTTTCTTTCTAATAAATTGATTAATTCGAATCAATTAATAGACAAATAAATGGTTACTTTGTTGAACCTCAAAAAAATGATTCTGGATTTGATGATTCAAATCAATCAAGTGAAAGAGAATAATTTAAAACATTCATTTGAATCAAAAATGTACTTGATTTATTTTTTTACTAAAATTAAAAAATGATAATTTAAATAGCAAAACTTTAGATTAAAATTTTTTTAAATGTTATCAAAATTGTTTAACTAATTTTGAGCTTTTACATTTATCATGAATATTCTAATAAATTTTGTTAATAAA